AAAGAAAAACCTTCAATTAAAGAATGACCAATTAAGTATAAATTATATAATTAATCGATTAAAACTTAATGTCTTTATAACTAAGATAACCTTGTACATGGAGTTATGGGATGGTTTCTGACATCCAAAGCCAACAAAGGTCATGAAGGTTATTCCGATTATTTGAAATTTGTTAAATACGAAAATAAATAAAAGTAAATGCTTACTATTTACCGTTCAAAATCCGGATTTTTTTTTTTTGAGGATTGCAAACCTCTTTAATCGCAAAATTCGTAATCGAGGTTTACCATCTTTGTTCAAACGCATCATCGTCTTTTATAAATGAAAGTTGTTCGATATCTTTTCTTAATTCCTTTTGCTGAGGTTTATGACGTGGATGATCCTTTTAGAAAAATGACCTTTTAGAAAAATTTAACGATTCTTTTGTTTAATTATTAAGGGCTTGGAATATGATTTTTTTCTGCCTAATTGGTAATTTTACCCAATATCATCGTAATTAAATGACAAAGGATATGGATAATTTATAACGGACGTAAAAAATACAACTAAATTATATTTTCGAGGATAAGAAAATCGGATTATGGGAATTTTTGGTTTTTGATTACTAATAAATGACAATAAGATCTTAATTTAGTCAAACATTCTCAGAACCTGATTTTCCCAACAATCATCCCATGTGATGTAAGTTATATATATAAAAAAATGCAACCCTTATTATTCTTTATTCTTTTCATTAAACGTTTGGAAACAAGGTTGTCTTGTCACATTCGATTGTTTTCGTGAAATCGGGTCATTTGACCGAGGCACAACCGTAGTTTTATGAGAGGATTCGGAAGACCTCCAAAAACTAACTATCCGCCATAACGAATGCATGTACCTTAATGTATGCAATCTATCCTGATCATTGAACTGCCAATCTTGGAAAATAACAAAATTTTCGCTTTTAAATCAATTTATTTGGTTAGATAACTTACTCAAGTTGACATGTACATAAAAAAAGAAGGTATATTCAATCATAAAGATCTATAATAATAATAATAATAATAATTTGACGTCAAAAAAAGCGCGTTTTCAATTTTTTCAATTTTTTCAATTTATAAAAAGAAAAAAGTTTTTTTTTTTTTTTGATTAAACTCCAAAAAATTATATTTATTCAAAACAGGACCGGTAACATCAATCGATAACGGAGAATGGTAGTAATAATAATAATACGTAAAAGTAATAATAATAATTATAAAAATGATGATAATTTTTTAGTGAAGCAAAAAGTAAAACATTTTCTCCACATATAAAGTTATACAGTCAGGCAAAAAAAAATAGAGAAGGCAACGATAATAATAAATAATAAATAAAAGAGACAAATGAAAGGAAGATTAATTTAAAATAATATGGGATAAATAATGGGTTGATATGTCATATAAAATAAAGTAAAATAAAGTATTTTGCTATGATAATGAATCGCAGAAAAAAATATTGAAAAAATAAATAAATAAATAATTCTAAATGCTAAAGAAAGATATATATGAATTTTTTTTTTTTTTTGTATTTGTATTTTTTTTCCTACGTGTTTTTTTTTCGGATTTTTTGAACTTTTCTATATATTTTTATATATATATATATTTTTTTGGATTAGAGAAAAGAAAGAATAATTTATGTGTATAAATATTGTAGATGTGTCTTTACGTGCTCGAAAAACGAAATGATATAAAATACGATATTAGAAGCTTGAATTTATTCAATAATCAATATTGAAACAAAAAGCGAATTACAAAAGGATTTAATTCATTTCCAAATTTACGTGAAAAGATAAAAAAACCTATTTTAAGGTTCGAAATATTTCATAAGGCGCAAGTTTTTATGCGCAAATTTTTTTTTTTTAAAAAAAAAAAAATAGAAAGGCCAAACAAATTACATAACGAACGAAATTGGAATTATGATAAATGTATCTCGAAAAAGAATCATCGAATTAGTTTTAATAATAAAAGAATTTCACATATGAATGGGTTAAAAAAAGAGATTATATGCATAGGATCATATATAAAATGTTTATATACGAAAAATTCGCAATTTGCGTTTACGCGAAAAAAAATAAAAAAAGAATGTCGTTCATAGTATTATTGCTTATTATATGAGAATGATTTAAAGGAATGTATAAAGTTGGATGTCTTTAAATAAGTTAAGAAAAAATTTTTGTTGAGTGAACATGAAATCATTTCGAAGGGTTATTTATACATGATTTCATATATAAACATATAATATAAAAACATAATATAAGCCTCGAACCTAAGAACGATCGAAGCGAATTGGTATATCAGAATAGTTGTTCATTGAATTTATCTTGCATTATCAAATGTAACTTTATTACGAGGAAAATCCATTATCATCCCAAAAAGGATTCTATAAGAAAGAAAAAAATACGTAATACATGCTATTTTTCTAACAAGGTTTAATAAATTGATCGGTTCGAAAGATTTGAAAGATTTCGATACTTATCAATCTTTTCAATCATCCAGTGGGAGAAAAGCCTTTGTCTCCCTTTGTGTTTTAAGAGGGTTCATGCATAATATGGATAAAGTTGATTAAATGACATCACTTAAAACTTATAATGAGTTAGACATTTCTTGGCTACCGAGACATTTTTTGTTACCAAAGATTCACTGGGCTAATCTCTGCACGAAGGGATGTTGTCTTTACCGCCAAGTTAATGGGATCAAAAACCTACACAAAGTTCATGATAAAGAGAGTTTACCGTCATTTTAGTTATTTTTAAAGATCCGCAAGGGTACTCCCATAAGCATATAAGTCCTGGCATGATCACGTCCTTGGATCAAATATCAGAGAACATCCATGATCGAGAGAAGACTTTCAATTAAAATTTGGTTAGATCTTCACATGCATCTAATATAAACATTATCGAGACTTAAAGTTACAAGTTTAAGGGTTTTTAATATTACATAATCCGGTTTCAATCCATGTATACACAATAAACACAAAGGTTTTTTTTCTTTCTACATAACAAATGAACAAGCTCGACCAATCACACGATGTAGATGATTCACGAGACATCCAAAAAAAGTATTTGGATTCTTTCATGATGTTATCTATAGTCAGGAATGTTTTTAATTAGGTTATTTTTATGAAATGATAATCTAAAAAAGAAATAATTCATTCAATGGCCTTTATTACACAACATTTTTATTCGCTGAGAGTCTATAACCAATTCAACAAACATCTATTTTATTTATTTAACTAATTAGAGTTAAAATTGTTTGTAATCCCCCGCAAATAAAAGATTATTTTTTTTTTTAATTAAAAAAATAAAAAAAAGAAGGCTTCATGGAGTCATCATCATAACTTATTGATTTCATTAAAGTTTAAAAATAATAATAATAGAGTCATGCTATCGATCAAAAAGCATGACAAATAACTTAATCTTTTTTCCGAGAAATATTTAAATTATTATTAAGGGCATGTTATTTGACAATCCGATATTCCCATTGCTTTATTTTAATTCGCCTATTATAAGCGGTCTTTATGATCAGTTGAATTGTTCACAATACGAAACGATGATGGATCAACAGCAGCTTAAGTAAGATACGCGACACATTTTAAAAAGAACACTGTGTAAAGAAATTCAAGACTTTGCATAGAGAAATCCATTCTTTATTTGAAAATTGAACATATGTGTGTGGTTATTATATTCTTGAGCTCCCTGATGTTAAAAAATGTACTTAAGAAAAAAGAAAACATATGGTGCTGTGGTTTTTTTATTGTGGTTGGTTTTACTATTATCATATAAATCATAGAAAATGTTAAAATCATATGGGGTAGTTAAAAAGACAAGAATTACATTATATTATTAATTATATATTAATTATATACAATATACACAATGATTATTAATATGTACAGATTATAAAGATATTATTATAAAGAAAGTAAAATAAAGTAAACGCGGTAAAATGTTTTTTTTTTACGGTCTGCGATCGATTTTTGATGAAATCAAAAGGGAATATGATGTTGAAAGGATAAAAGTAAGGAGCGAATCAATAGTTGGCATATAAGATGATTACGTGAAGAAGGTTTTATTCTCATTGCATTATTTTTTTTTTTATTTCCTTTAAATTAATTATTTTTTTACTTTTTGCATTTTGATATGGAAAGAGATTAAAGATGATTTTAACCAGTTAAAAGAAACATTATAATATTATTAAATATCTTGTTTGATAAAAAGGAAAAGAGAGGCACAAAGTATTATTTTTGATTATTCGTTAAAGTTGAAAGAGAATAAAAACTAGTTCATTGATAAATTCAATCAAAGATAAATTCTGACGCTTAAATATTAATTTTTTTTTCCTATAGAATCCATTATGGTATGAGATTTTTTTTTTTATCATGGTAAAAATAAATAAACCCCCTTTTTTTTTACATAAAAAAAAAAAAAAGAATTTAGAACGCAACATTCGTTGGGTGAATCCTTTTGTTTGTGTAAAAGAAAATCGTGAAAAAAAAAATTAAAGGAATCCCAAATATATCATGATTGTCTTGTGTTTCATGAGGTAAAAAAAAAAAAAAAAATTCGACTAAAAAATTCTTGCATTGATTGGGTCACAAGGAGATTCAGATAAATTTGTTTAGATTGAAACTTTAAATTCGGATTCGGATTTTGTGAAACATGTAACGGCTCATGATTAAACTGCACCGAATGAGTCAAATACGAACTAGTCGGACAATGAAATCTCCATTATCATTGTAATCTGTCATAATGCGTTTATAATGTGAGAAAATCTGATACTGCGAGAAAAAAAAAAAAAAATTTTTTTCTTTTATTTATTCGGTGTTGAAATATTTTTTTTATTCACACGAATATATAATTTTTTTTTATCCTGTGCACATTAGCGATTTCAAGTTAAAACCTACTCCTATTAAATATAATATAAAGTATAATAAAATAAATATATAAATAAATGTCCTCTTTAAAAGTCTTTGCTTCAGTGGCTATGTTAACATTGGTTGGGGGGTACGGTCTATCAAAACTTTACGGTAAATATTACACACGAGAACTCCTTGATCATGAAATATCCGACGATGGTACAGAGCAAGCATTAATTTCATCAACATCATTGTCCTCGACAGCATATGCAAGTTCATCATCCATCTCTGAAAAGATCAAACTGCGTGGTAATTCCTCCAAATCAAAAAAATATTGTATTATAATAGAAAATTTAATTATAGACATCACGACAAAACAAAATCAGGCGATACGCTTTAGAAAAAAATATCACAAGAATCTCAATGGGATATTAAAATCCATTGATGAGATGAGGGAAATAATTTGTGTCACGGAAGCCGAAAATTTGAAAAAAATTCACAAGATATTAGATGACATAGAGAAATATCATAAATATAAGGATGTTAATTTACCCAAAAACAAATCTCATATAAAAGAATTGGAGAAACAGCTCATGCAAGAGGAAGCTTATCTGGACACCGAATTAAGAGTGCTGCAAGCTGATTTAGGCATGCTTATGTGGAAGTACGAAGAGTTGGATAATTACGCCTTAAAAGAATGGGAATATTCCCAATCAGAGATTCAACAGTTACGAGCGAGATTAATGAAGGAAGCAACTCGATTCTCAAAGTTGAAAGAAAGTAAATATTATTACTAATTAAAACGGGTTGAAACATGTATGTTAATGAGTTACCTACTCGAGTGAGTTAGATAAGTGGCGTATTCATCTGACAAATCCTGGCGTTTTATGAGTACATTTTCTTTTTAATCTGCATAATTTAATATATGTGCATATATATAATAATCTATTCATTTTCAAATAGCATTTCCAAAGACCATTTCATTTTCATTTGCATTTATTTGCATAATTTATATAACGATAATTTATTATCCAATGAACATTTATTTAGTTTCATCTTTGGGTATTTCTCAAAAAGTTAACGGTGTAACCAAAAGTTATCGGATGTAGGAAGGTACTAATTTGGAAGGTTTTGTAATAAAATAATGAGCTTCTTTCTTCTTTATTATATAATAAAGAAGAATTTACCTGATAGGGGTCTTTAAAAAGAACTTTACCGTCCGAGCACGTGACGGCCTCATCTAATTTCATCTGCTTACATAAGAATGCATTTATCGTAAGTTGTTATTATGTAAGCATGACAACATGTCACGTTATAACGCGTTTTAAAAACCTTCAAGTACAAATTTTTAATTGAACCTATTTTTTTGAAATTTCTTTTTCAGATAATATAATTTATTTCATTAAGTTTTTAATTGAAGGTTTTATTTAATAGCATTATATCTATTTATTTAATAGTTTTTATGGAGATACCAAAGTAAGGCATTGTAAAAGCAATTAAAAAAATTATCTTAAATACCTTAATTTTTTATCAATTATGTATGAATATTGTTATCATTATGCCTTTATTATGCCTTAATTAAGATGTTGTATCTCAGGTGATTGTAACAGGGGTTTGCAGCCATATAAGTATAGGGACATAGTTTAGAACTTCAATTTTATAAAATCGAGAATCTTTACGGCCGTCCCGTCATTTTTCTTTCCTGGTTATAATTTGGGTTTGAAAAATTACCTGACATTATTTTACTATACGATGCTCAATGTAAAGATAAAATACGATCCTTAGGAAATTCATAGAAAATTTGTAGTTTGGAAAGAAACCATATGAAGAAAGAAAGAAACCCAAATAAAGATTTTATAATATTCTAACGTACACTAAATTAATAACATTTTTCAGTTGAAAACTTTTTTTCCAAATTGGATTAATATCAGAAGGATGTGACTGATGGAAATTTATTATAACATCTGTTTGCGAAACAGTACATTATTGGAACAGGTCTTGAGAAATCTAGCAAAAGATTTATCTTGTATTTATTTAAATGAATATATATATATATATATAATATAAAACTATTACAACCCGTAATTCCTAATTAATGTGCACCTACAGTATCTACAGTATATCTTGGACTTTATCCAGGTCAAAATATTGAATCGTTTTACATCCACCTAGCAATGTCCATTTTTCAGCCAAACCTGATCACGAGTTGTTAGTTTTTTTTTCTTTCCTTTTTACTTACTTTTTTTTTTTTTTTTTTAGAACAATAGTAATCAAGAACAATAAAGACAAAAGGTTCACAGAAGAACAATGGGTAATTAAGACAAAGGGCACCAACAAAATGATGGAATTCTAGATTTTTTTATTCATGATCCATGGGTCATATGACTCGAATCTTATGAGTTCACTCTATCAAATTCAAGCGATGTTCCCTCGTCTTCTTGCGCCCTTTTTTCAAATCCAACAAAGATGCTTGGATGCTTTGCTTGATGTCTTCGAAGCCTGCATTCCCTGCATCATGCAAAGCCGAAGTCACGCAGATTGCATACGTAAAAAGCCACATGTGGGTCTTTCCAACTGAAAAAAAAAATGGGACATGCTCTCTCGTTATCTAATTAAATTACCATCTTGAAAGAGGATGTGAAAAAAAAAATGAAATAAATAAGGAGTCGAAATCCTCTATCCTCGTATTCAAAAAAAATTTCCTTAAAAGATTTTTTTTTAATGATAAATCGGTTTTCATTGATACCTTAAAGTTATCGGTTAAAAATTTCCCCAGAAAAAGATGCACCTTTGGAAAAATTAGAGTCGATCACGTGATACAAAATGCATTTTGTTGTATGTGACATATTTTTGACATTGCAATTGGAATATGTTAAAAAAATCCGAATTAATTTTACCTTCTTTTATTTTTAGTGATTAAATCAATACGAAATAAAACCATAACTTTTTCAACAAACAAATCAAATAGACGCGTTTTAAAGATTATTTGTATTTTTTTTTTATTTTTTTTTTTTTTAAAAAAAAGATGCATTTATTTACAATATGCATGTAAAAAGTGCGAAAGTATAGTTTTTTTATATTAATTGTTCATATATTAAAGTAATTAGTCATAATTTATCTCGTGTCTAACTAATCTAAATTGGATATTTTTGTACGTTCCGTAGTTTTTACGAAAAAGACGTGAAAAAGAATTAAATTCGAAAAGTATATAAAAAAGAAAAACGCGGTAAAAAGAGCTCTAGTAATGAAAGCGAAATCTGACTCGAATCAGATAATAATGACACAATTAAGCTATTTATAAAAGACGTAGCTGAGATTTAAAAAATTACAGGCTACGCAAAAGATGTCTATTATTAGATAAGAAAAAGTTTTTTATGAAATGTCTTCAAATGTAAATGTTTCTTTTAATCGAAAATAAAAAAAAATTATATAAAAATGAATGAATTACGATAACGTGTATCGTCGGTAAATTAATCCATAGGGTTTCTATTTTTTTTTTTTTAAAATCTATGGTGACACAACGTGGAGTTAAAAACGCAAGAACATATCCGAAAATGCAAATTTAGGTTAAACATTATTACATACCACATGTTTTCATTACTGTAATAAAAAAAAAATCCCCATGTCTTGTCGTTAATGAGTGGTTGGTTGTGGTTTAACTATATAAAAAATAAGAATGAAATTTCCCTAAATTATTGTTCTCTAGTATTAGAAATCCATTCACAAATTTTCGAAAAAAAACAAACCATCGAAATCCTCATTCGAAGAATTCCCTCCTTTACAGGAAAAACCCGTTGTAAGAAAATCATTTTTTTTCTTCACCAGAGCTCGGAAAAAAAAAAATAATTTTCTCACGTCACATCGAAAATGAAGGTGATGATTTATTATTTATCGTTAAGATATATTTCGGTTTTTTGGTAAGGGAAATGAATAAAAGCAAAATCCTTCACACTTTTATAATGTTTTTACCTAGTCCATTTTTTTTTAAGCGATCAAAAGATAAACATCACATAACATAACATTATTTCATTCTATAATTTAATTTAATTTATTTTCACGAGAAATTCGGATAACAAATTTTTACCATCATCAAACAAATTTCGATCATCATTTGATCAATAATGATATGATTAGAACGGACAAGTCTAAATAATACTTCGTTGTGATTTTCATGCAATTTCTTTTTGATAAACCATATATATTCCATGTGAAATCTTGACATGTAGTAACTCGTTTTACAAAAAAAAAAAAATTTCTCCCTTAAACATAATTTCCACATAAAATTTCGGATGTGTTTCCTTTTTCAAGACTTGGATGAAGTGCTTGATTAGGATTGATTGTATGCTGCAAGGAATCGTGAAAGGATTTCTTATTTTGGAGATTGGTTGACCTCTTAACAAGGTCTGCATGATGCGCATCTTTATGATGATAAAATATTTATCGGATTTATCACTTCAAATCATATGAAAATACGAAATTTTATTTGATAAACGCGGTATTTTTGATGATATTACAAAAAGTACTAAGTCATAAACTACAAAGATACATACATGGTTACAATAATATGCGAATGAATTCTATACAAAATTATTCAAGTCTAATCAAATAGAATTTCTGAATGCCATGGATCTCAAAGATTCTATATTTGAAAGGGAAAAAATACATACGTTTTTTTCACCACACTTTCAAATTTGAGAAAGTTAAAAGCCTGCTGGTGTATATTGCAAGGGGATGAAACATGGAAGGGGAACTTGGTGTGGAAGAAGTACCGTTTATCCTATGTTGCTCCGCCGCTTCAAATTCTGCTCGAATGTCAGACAGTTCATAGTCATTATGAAGTTCTTTCAGCCAATCTTCCAAAACACCAATCAATTCCGTCGCGTCCGGACGATTTGATGGGTTGGGATCCCAACACTTTTTCATCAATCTGACAAACGAAGGCGGTGTGCCTTTTGCTGCTTTGGGCCGTAGACTATTGCATATATCAGAAGCAAGGGATTGGTCATGCGGTCGATCAGCGAACGGTCGTCGTCCCGTTGAGACCCCCCACATGATCATACCATACCCATAGATATCTGAGGCGCTAGTGAAAGCTGTTCCAAGCAATACTTCGGGTGGAACATAAGGTAATACCCCGTATAATTTCTTGCTATTCGAATCCTTATCTGGCGGATAATATTGACCTATATCACTAATGCAAGTGTACCCTTGATTCCTCACATCTAAAAATATATTTCCCGGATGAAAATTTCGATGCAATATGCACTTGCTATGTAACGCAGCCAAACCTAACGCGAGGTCATAAAGTATCTCCAACTTCTTTTGCCACGGTATCATTGCTGATCTTGCTATCACGTATTCGTGAAAGTTTTCCGCATAATCCATCACAAGAATGTAGTTATTCGTCGTTGGATCTTTGGATATACCATAACAAAACACGACGTGACCTTCAGGATTACAACGATGATGCGATGAGATCTAATAAAACGTTACGAGGATCTCATAAAAAGGAGGTTCTTTTGTGGAGATGATGATGATTTTGACAAATGATGAAAAAATGTTCATACCTCGTTTAGAAAATCGGTCGAGACGTTTTGTGAATTGTCAAGGATCTTTAACGCAACGGTTCGAGGACCCGTCCTTATTCTCATTTGATCTGTTTCGTCCCAAGCCCATCGAGGTCCTTCTAACCAAGTCGCGGAGTAGACATCACCATAGCCACCACTAGTCAAATACTCGACTTCAGTAAAATAATCATACGGTATCCATTCCAGGTAATCGTGAGACGTTTGAGCATTTTTTTGCGATGTTCGGATAAAATCATCGATTTCAATATTACCGCTTGTCCAATGTGGGAATTGCTGTTCAAATCGATACGATTCACAATTTTGACACCAACTATAGCCGGTCCTTGGATAACCGCATTCCACACAATCCCAAAAGGTTCTATGACGCCATTCAAGTACTCCATCAAGATGTTCCGTTGAAATCAATTGAATCGTTGGTGATGAGATGTTGTCATCCGCGTAAACCTCTGATGGCTTTTTGAGAACTCCGCCCATCTTTCTCAAAACCTGCCCCAATGCTATAAATTTATTATATGTTTCGAATAAATTTAATTTCCTTGGAACTTTCATCAAAATATAAATATATATATGATATATATATATATATGTATTTTTTTTTTTTGTTACTAACGTTAGTATCACTATAACAATGAAGGCTACTTATCTAGATTAGATTTTGAACCTTATTAATAAAACAGGAAAAAAGATCCATGATAATTGTTGAATAATAAATAATAAATAATAATAAAAAGTTCTAAATAAAAATTTTCGTTTAAAATTTCATTTCATTAAATGTCAATTCTTACACTAGGTTTCCCAAATGCGATTTCTTTACAAATTCTATATTCTATATTCTATTAATGTCCCTGTGCGGTTGCAATGGTTTTTTTTTTTTTTTTTTTTCCAACAATTTTTTTTAACGCGGAGTGGGAAAAAACATTGTTAAAAAAATTATTTGATTTTTAGTGTACGTTTAGTTGTACGATGACATAAATAAGCTGATTCATTATTCGTAAACCTTAAAAAAGGTTAAATTAATTTCTGATCATATTTTAAACATTTAACATTTAATTACTCTTTATTTATAGAATCACGTTTTCCATAAATAGATTGAAATAGATCAAATAATAAAGCAAGCATGTGATTGATGTAAGATCATTTAGATTATGGGAAGATACCTTGTTTTTTAAAATTTTTATTGAGCCCAATTACGCTTTACAGACCTTATCAGAATATTATTATTATTTCAATGATCTCTTTTCCCCATAGATCCGATCAACGGAAACATCCAACTTTTTATTAAGAGGGAATATGGAAAAATATGAATAAACCAATTAAAAAAGCCCTAGTTAATCAGTATGGTGGATTCTGGGGAAAATCCCCAGGAATACGTCGCGACAAAACCGTTGATTGTTTCCAATTGAGTAAGTAATTACAGAATGATGCATCAAGATCGAATCTGAAAGATATTTAAAAAGTCGTACGGAATGATCTGATTCATACCATTTTGATTTAAGGGTTCTTTTTGAACGTTAAGTCTTGAATCATAATCATTTGAAAAGCATCTTTACTTGCTGATTGTAATTCAAAACATTAAAGAACCCAATACTGAACCGAAAAAAAAACCGAAAAGAGACGAGGCGACAGGGAGATTATGCTTAGAAGAAGTGATGTGAACAAAATGATTTCTGATCTTATTATCTTCTATCAACGGAACGGCATTCCGCAAAAAAAAAAAAAGATTTATTCTGCGTTTCAAATCATTGATTAAAAATTGCATTTGTTCTCTTTCAAAATTTGAAATTAAAAGGAAGAAAGAAGTATGCATTGAAAACAAGTTGCTTTTCGCCAGAGCGCATCGCATCAAAAAATTTCAATGAACAGATTTTCGTTTATATTAATTTTTCTTTATCTTTTTTTTTTTTTTTTTTACCTATCAAGCAACAGGATTGTTATCTTTTTTTTTTTATGTTATATCTCGTAAAACTAAAGTTGTGTTACTCGGATTATTAGTTTTATTAAATTTTTAATACGCGAGATTTTTGATTTTAATAATTGTGCATAATTGCATGATGCAACATCATATCATTAAAATAATCAAAGCGAAAAATATATAAATAACGATTCTCTCGAACGAAAGTTTTGTTTTTCAATTTTCAAGTCAATCAAATAAATCAAAATTAAAACCTTTTTATAAAAGCAAGAAAAATTAATGCGAAATTCTATTACAAATTTATACAAATTCAAAACACTTAAAACTGAAAAACGTCTTCACAAATAAAAATTCTTTTGAAAATTATTTATTAAATCAATCGAATATAATAATTAACACCTTGTTTATAATATGGATAATCAATCCTTATTTAAACACGAAAAAACAAATTATTTTAAATTCAAAACAACATTCATCATCAACGAAATGAAATTAAAAACACTTCAAATTGGCGTATTACTGTATAAACCTTTTTTATTATAGAATCAATTTATAGACTATTAGTTAAATGATGCTTGATCTAGCTTATCAAATAAAAATTGATATGCTTGATCGGGTATTATTTTTTTTATATTTTAATTAAAAATGCGTCAGAAAGTTCGCGGTTACTCTTTAGAAGATAGCAATCATTGAAGCAAAATTGCTTCAAAAAGTTCGGTTCCTTTGCAGTCCTCGGTAGAAGATAACAACCATTGAAGAAGGAATTGCTTCAAAAAGTTCGGTTTCTTTGTCGTCCCCGTTAGAAGTTAACAACCAATTGCGCGGATTTTGCTTCAAAAAGTTCGATTTTTTTGCGGTCGTTAGAAGATATCAACCAATTGCGCAGATATTGCTTTAAATAGTTCGGTTTCTTGGTGTTCCTCGTTAGAAGATATCAACCAATTGCGCAGATATTGCTTTAAAAAGTTCGGTTTCTTGGTGTTCCTCGTTAGAAGATAACAACCAATTGCGCAGATATTGTTTCAAAAAGTTCGGTTTCTTTGTGCCTTCGTTAGAAGTTGACAATATTTGGAGCATAAATTGCTTCAAAAAGTTTGGGTTCTGGTTAGAAAATGAAAACAACATATTAATTAACATACGAGATATGAAAGAATCAGTTTGATGTCCTATTTAATATAAACCTACTTCAATAGTTTTTGCGCGCGTTAGAAAATTTTTATACATTGTAACATTTGAAAATTTTGAGAGATATTGATAGATTTTATTTAAATAAAAAAATTTTTTTCCTTTTATTTATACAAATTGGTAATGTAATAAACATTTCATAAATTTAAGTTCTTTTAAAAAAAAGGAATCATCGAAAAGGAAATTCCGAAACAAAAAAAGCGTGTCTCTCAATAGAAGTAAACGCCAAATGCCATGATAGTACATACGATTGTGTCCTACATATTAAAAAAAACAGGTTAGATCAACACAAAACCTTTTCTTAGTATGTTATACAGCGCCGTTACATTTATTTACATTCTTAAAGGTTTCATGTGCGACACTGTCAGTGTCTCTATCCCATGCGCATGAGCATTGAATCCTAGAAATGTATTAACTTTTCTTTTTATAAAGGTTCTAATAAAGGTTCTTTTTAGCAATGGTGCAGCATTTTTAGACGAATCAAATACCTTGTCCCAGCTGATCTGTTCTCCATGATAGTAACGTTGACAATATACTTGTATTGATTCAAATCCAATTCTAACGAAAAATTAATAAACATACGTAATTATTCCATAAGTTATTGGTTAATACTACATCATTCGTGATAGAAAAAAAGGTTTCCGCTTACCTAATAATTTTTGTTTTATTTCCTGAGAAATTTCACGAGCCCAACCTGGGGCTTGATCTTTATCATACAAAGCGTCGTTTAATCTTTGATGTAAAATATTTTGAATGATCTGCTTTGCTACGGGAGCTTTGAATCTATAAAAAAAAAAATTGGTATAGTTAACCATATCGAGTGAATCACGGTCAGGGAATCAAAATTTTACTTTTGCTTGTAACTTGGACGAAGGGAGAAGTTGGAGTCGGTTGATTCACGACGTTCGAGTTCCGAACCACCTTTAAGACGATTGACCGGGGGTGGTGGTAGATCCATAGAAGGTTTTAGGGAAAGTAATAAATCATCATCTTGTGATATGTTTGCGGAATCCATTGTCAATGTGGTAGTTGCTGATTCTACTTCCATGATTATAAATTGTATTTAATTTATTTTAATTTTTTTTTTTTTTGGATAAATATAAAGAAAAAAATAATTATCTTCCAAAGATAATAATAACCCTTTAAAACTTTATGTTTTTTATATAAAATTTTAATGTGCTACTTTGGCTTTTTACGCGTTTAGAGTTTCAGAAATGCTGAAAATCATGAAATCTTGTTAATCCATCATGCTATTATTGCAATGTATATGCAAATTTATGTGTGATATGATTTCAAATTCTTCAATGAAAGTTGCAAATCTTGTCTTTTAAACGCGGGTTCTTTATCTAAAAAAAATATAAATATAAAAATATATACCATTGTTTTATAACAATGTCTTTTTGACAATCAATATTTCCTAATTTTTTTTATTTAACATTCCTTCTAATTTACGCGAAGAATCATCTGCTAATATTCAATATACATTATATATTGCATTGTTGTCACATGGACAAGTTTTGCAAGCCAATATGTATATATATGTATATACATGTCATGTAACATTTCAAAGATGAATCACATGTCAACAAGTAACAAGAAAATACTGTTTGATAACTTGATTCATTCTTAAATTGGGTATCAAAAACAGCAGATCATTTCCTTGGTCAATTTTTTTTTTGTTCTTGTATCTGGAAAAAAAAAAATGGTTTACCCGTTGGAAAAAGTTGTCTTTAACCGAATCGATTTGATCGATCTCAGATTTGTAGATCCTTTTAAATTACTATTAGATTAAAATTTTATGAAATGTGTGATACATGTAAATACTTTGTTTCGAAGAAATGATACTATTACTAAATTTAAATATTTATTTTTTATTTTTTTATTTTTTTTTTAAAAAAAAATATTTTTTCATTTACTGTAAATAATTTTTTTTTTTAAAAAAAAAAAAATGATTTCTTCTACATAAATTGCCATAAAATGAGAATGAATGATAAATTAGGTCAAGACCCATATACTGTATATGTTACCTAGCACAATAAGGTAAGTAAGGATTTCAGCCCTTCTAAAAAGTACCACAATCGAGACCTGACATTTGAAAATCAACAAAGCATAATCATAATATAATGAAATCGCGATGCATATGAAAAGTTCGAAAGCAAATCTCACAATTCACGGAAAATTAACAAGTGTAACCTTTATAAACTTAAAGTAATTCGTATTCTCGTGAATGAATTTACACCATAAAACTTCTAGTTTATGAAGAATTGACGATGACAGAAGACGATATTGCTACTTTGACAATTTTTAAGTTTCACATTTGAACTATCATTATCACTTTAAAGCGCATGAATACATATATATACCTGGTGCAACGTGATTCTATCTATCCACGGAGTAATGTATCCATTGAGTGGATCAAAGATATTCTGTCGTCCAACATGTCACAATGAGAGGTTTTATCAATGATACCTGAAATATCCTATTTCAATAAATCAATCTTCACAAGAATTGTGAGCTAACCTCCTTTGAACTCTAACGAGTTTGTTAAAATGGAATAACAGGTTCAATTAAACGTAGACATTATGATCATTTTACGGATTTTCTTTTTTATAAAAAAAGCAATGTGAAAACAAAAAAAAAAAAAAAAGAGAAAATAAAAGAATCAAAACAAAAAACATTAAAGTAAGGTATCCTAGCTTCGATCTGTAAATACTAAACCAATTATGAGTTGACATTTCTTTTGTGTATCATCAATAAATAAAACCTTAATACAATAGAATTCCATTTTGTTTAAATAGTACCGAAAAATTAACGCTTTACAAAAAAAAAATTTTTTTTAAGGTTTAGATCAAAGCCTCAAATGACACAAATGACAATTTTGATAAACATAAACAAACGTCCTGATTACATCATTTGGAATTAAGTCTTTATATATACAATGTAAACATCCTCGCTCGTTTAAATAGTAAACTTAAAAAAATACATTGGGCTTAACGTGTCGAACCTAAGTTTATCCGAAATAAACAAAATCTTTTGCAATTATTTGAAATTATTTAAAATATTTTTATGTGACATTACATAATCGTATTACTGTTTTAACTAATAAAGAAAAAATATTTTGCTTGAAAAAAAGCAAAGCAACCAAATTTTTTTTTTTTTTTTATTACGAATGTCTAAATAAAGTAATACATAAAATAATTAATTGTATCATAAATTATTAAAAAAACTGAACGAAATTTAAAATCTAAGGGAAAAAAAGAAAAAAATGTTAATTAAAAAGAAAAATTTTAAGGAAAAAAAAAAGACAATTGCCTTATTAAATTTTCCACTTCGACGTTTATGTTTCTCAGCAAATTTATCATCAAATTTATCACCAGATTTATCGGCAAATTTATCTGCAAATTTAAATTTTTGAATTGATTTAATAACTTTATCAACATTTTTCTTGATAGATGAATCTACAAAAAAAACACATTTTTTCGTAAATTAAATAAATAATAAAAGATTGAAAAGAATATATAGTTTTTTAAATTACCATAAATTTTTTTTATGATTCCTTGAGGATTTATAATTATTACTTTTTTTTGATAAATTTGTGAATTTTTGAAATTCAAAACATTAAAATATTTTGCGAGATCATTATTTTTATCCGCCAACAGCGGAAAATTAATACTAATTACATTATCAAGATCAAAGGAACTTTGCTCGTAATGCATTAAATGATTATGAAGTATTAAAGAAGTAAGGCTTAATAAAATTAAAATTCCATGGTTAAAAAAAAAAAAAATTTAAATAAAAATATTATTATTTTTAAGAATTAATTTAAAAAGAAATTATATAAATCCTTACGTGAAAACATTGTCATTTGATACTGCTAATAAGACCACATCTAATTCTTTGAATAATTTTATATTCTTAGATAATGTAATGATCTAATTCAAATAAAAAAGAATCTTTAATTTTTTTGTCCTTTTTTTTTTTTTTGTTTTTTTTACGCGTGAGTTCACAATTACGAATCCTTAGAAATCTCACCTCTTCAGGACATATTTTAGGATTATTCTTTATATCGTAAAAGAACAAAACGATGTCTAAAGGACACAAGCGCAAATGATTAATCAACGATTTAGATTCACAAAAAAACGTGTAAATGATAAATTTATATATGTATATGCATCCTTACATTTCCCTAAATACTTATCAAAGGTGAAATCGTGAAAAATGCCATTCTCAACGTATACAATTTCAAATTTAGGGATTTGTCTACATAAGGCGGCATCCTTGGTATTCGAAAACATTATTTAAAATTTCAAACTTTTTGATAGAAAAAGAATTGTTGAGAGAAATTGCGACAAAACAAAAAAAAAAGACAAAGGATTGAAAAATTGTAAAGTGTAAAAAAAAAGAAAGGAAAATAAATCATGATGTTTTTATACCTTTAGTTTTTATACCTCCTTAATATATACAGTATTTCATTCTTTCGGTAAATCCAACTTATTCTCATGTGAGCTTAATTTTCTTTCTTATGGAAAATATTTTGATTAGTGATATCATTCAAATAAGCTTTTACTTATTTTAGTGAATAATTAAAATAACTCGAGAAATGAAATAAATAAACATATATTGTCGGTCCAAAGAAGGCATTATTACCTCCGGTCTAGTCCGTTCACAAAACAATTAATGAATTCATCAAAGGAAATTGCGCATTATCCCATTGTTACATTTAAATTTATTTAGTTTCAAAACATCAAATAACGTTTTTCTTGGCAATCTCGACATATTTAAATGATGATCCATTGGGTACAAAAAAGTTTTTGAAAAATTTATTTATTTTATCGGAGCACAGTTTTATCATATAGAAATTTATTAACAACAGAAACGACGGATATGTTTATGCATATCTCTTTAAAGGGCCAGAGAGTTCCATAATCGTGCATATACTATTTGGAATAATCAAAAGAGACGTATTGGTGTTAAAAAAATAATTCCCCATATTTCTATTTCTGTTACAAAACTACTGAAATAAAAAGAATATTAAATTGTTAAACAAATTACCATTATGTGTTTGCTTATGGTGGTTTGGACATTTTCTTAATTTTATAAGATTTAAAATCATAAAATTTTTTAAAACGAGGTATATAAAATTTGAAATGATTGTATCGGATTTATCAGAAAATCCAAAATAGATTTTGTACGCTGTTGGGAACCCTTTTCATAGGTCCGAAAATCGAAAATTGAAATTGTTTGTATATAATAATTTTGAAGAGAGGATTTATTTGGAGATTTTAATTATCAATAGAAATTAAGGAATATGATATCATGCAAACAAAGGACGCGAGCGAAATTTATTGAGGGAACTAAATCGTTTAGATAAAAAAAGAACATCCGTGCATATTAATAAATCTCTATATAAAGCATTCCCGATCCAACAAAATAAAAATAATTTTTATAATCGAAGGGGTGTATTTTTTTATAAAAATTGCATTCATGTAGAGAATGATTTCGTAGAATTCTAATTCATATTAAAACTTTCGCATAAAGTTTTTATTTAGATGTAATTTGAAATGAAAACCCGCGCATCGTTGAAATTTATGCATGTGCATGCAAGATACATAATTATTTATCCACAATGCGTCATGTCAATGCATCTCTACTATTTTTATCATTGTCTAAAAATAATTTTCTCGAATCAACCTTTGAAAGTTTATTATTATTCTAAAGATGATTAAAGTTAATAAAGATTTATATAGTAATTTATCACAATTCATGGGGTTAAAATAAGATAAAGTATTTAATTAATAATTAATCCAAAAAAAAACTATTAAATTATAACAAAAAAAATTCTAAGAGAGAGAAAAATCATAATTAAAGCTGCGATTATTAATACATTACTAATCAACATGACTAAATTGCTTATAAATACAAAACATAAATAAGTATATAAATAGATTACTACCAACTACCCCTTCGAATTAACTAGTTTTAAAAGTTCTAGTTAGTAACCCTTTAAAATCATGAAATTGTCTTTCGCTGGCATTATTACTTAATAAAAATGAGACGGTTTTAGCTTCCTGTTCTTGTTCATTGCTAACGCGTTTTGGTAGTCTAGAATTTTGTATCATAAACCCTCTTATACATTTCAATACTAATTCACTCCTCTTGTAAAGAATATTTTCATCCAATGCCGGATCTGAAAATGGATCATTTTTGGATGGAAGTAATAAGAATGGTAATGACATACTTGCAATATCAAATCTATCGACGGTTCTTAATATGTTCCTTAATCCATTCATCACGCGAGATTTTTGTGTAAGCTCTGATTTGGTGATTGCTTAAAAAAAAGGTAATGATATGAAGTTAGACCACAATCAAGTTCATTCTATAATCTCATACTCGGAATTACCTACATTCAAATTCAATTACTAAGTGAAATACGACATGAACAAGAGGTAGATTCGAATGCTTTGTAATAAAAAAATCACCTGCAATAACAAGCTATGACCTTTAATATTTAAATATACGATTATTAAGTATGATTGTATATATAAATATATGCGCTAACCTTCTTGCACTTCAGATCTACCAAAGTCTCTTTCAATCGCCTCTAGTTGCGATTCAACATCTTTAAAGTGAAATTCTGTTGATTCTCTACATCTTAAAAAAAATGCTGAGGTTTATGTAATTAAAAGTAAAATATATTACTTCAATGTTTTTCAATCTTAAAATATTTTTAAAAAAATATATAAATTCATAAAGTACCTTTGTTGGCACTTTTACCCAATTTGTAATTGGCCCAATCTCTTGGCGTTAATATCAAAACAATGGCTGTCAAGTTCTGGGAATATAAATTCGCAGCCGTTTGAGCTCTATAAGCCATATCTTTTGCGGTATCATTAGATGATTTAAATAAATCATCCATGTCTGACACCAAGAGTCGAAGGTTGTGAGTTGATTTCACTTGATTACCAAGTGAAATCGTATAACTTTCCATCATTTGTGTATTACCAGCTAAATGTAAGTTGGGTTCATTTCTTGTAACAAATGAAAATAATATTAATATTAAAATTTTTTTTTTTTAACAAATTTGTTTATTCACTCACCCATTCACATCATCATCCATTACTTTTCTGCTTAACCAACTAAACCTTCTGACCGTTGTACTTGGTGAAGATACCGTTGGTTGTTTTTGATTAAAGAATGACATTGGTGACCAAATTTTCTTTTCTGTTTTAGTTAATATCGCCAATTTGGGTCTGCGTGGAGATTTGTTTCTTGATTTACCAATTGATGAAGGATTTTCTTTAAGTGGGGAACTTGCAAATGGAATAGATGTGCGCCTTGGAGGCAAAACCGTGTTATTTGCTATTTGTGCGTCAATCCTGTCTAATTGTTCACACAGCAAAGCAACGGCTTGTTCCTAACATTTTTAAAAAATAAAAATAAAAATAAAAAATATGCTAAAAATAGCAATCCTAAATTAGTTGTGAAGATAAAAATTTGAAGATTTTACCATACTCCAATTAACCATTTCCAAGGCAACCTTGGCTTGATCATAATGGAATCCCATGTCTTGAATCTCGTTAATCATTTTCATGTAAGCAGGATTATCATCATGCTAAAACCCCCCAAAAATAATAATAATAATATATATATATAAAAAAAGTATAAAAAAAAATAAAATAAAATAAAGTTAAATGTCATGACAAAATTCCTTTAACCAAAAAATGATAATTTCCCTATACCACAATTACAATCCGAAATTTCACACATTAAAGTAGGTCATGATCTTATCGTCTCCATTACCACCAAAAGATGATGAAACTGGAGAAAACATAGGAGAAGGTGGTGAAGGCATTACGGGAGATAACACCTCTGATAATGAACTAATGCTACCATGATGACTTCTTGCGCCATGTCCTTTGTTGAGTCTTAATAATTGATTAGATAGCTCATTTCGGCTCTTTTTTAATGAGGATATTACTTCAGAAACTATATCTTTGCCGTCTAATTTAAAAGTCCAATTTGGATCTGATTCTGATTGATGTTCTGCAATCCAACGCTGATGCGCCTCATATAATTTAACCACAAAGTCGCAATATTCATTTTTTTGCGTTCGCTTCATGTCCTCAAGTTCACTTGCTAATGTAGCTTGTTTATACTCTACATACTAATAAAAAAAAGTAAATGAGAAATAAGAAATGATTTATCAGGAATAAATCAAATGCTCATTAATAATACCTCTAGATGTTTTTCGACTAAATAACCATTATTATAACTGGATCCTCTATCGACGATTTCATCTATCTCTTTATGATGCCTAATTAATCAAATCAGACTTTAATGTTAGATTGCAAACGAATTTAGAATGAAATCCTTTCAAGTGACTTACTTGTCTTGAATATGTTCCATCTCATTCTCGTGAGCTAAGACAATTTCCATAATCGCTTGTTTATATTTCTCTTCCAACTGTAAGAGTGTATCAAAGATGGAAGGGATCGGAGAGTGAACAAGAGTATTATGCGCCTTTGGGAAATTATCCTAATGATAGACAGAATAGATTTTTTATATTTTTCTTTAAAAAAAAATATTAATTATAAAAATTAATTAATTAATTAAAACTACTTTGACATACCTCTTTGGGGGATGTATTGTATCTAACGGTGTAATTTTTATACTTTGATACAAGATTTTTGCGAAATCTTCTTGCTTCCAAATCACTTTCAACTAAAAAAGAATCAAAATAAAATTTCTATTTTTAAATAAACAGATCAAATCATTCTCAACTTACTTTTCTTATCATTTTCAATATCCATACGTAAACTTTCCTTCATGAGAGACTCTGTGACAGAAAGCAAAGAAAGTTCTAGGTAGCAAGGGATCTTGTTATCATTCATAAACCTTCTAACAACGTCTAACAATAATTGATCTTTTTTCAAACAAATTGTTACTATGCTTTCTTTATTACTAGGAGGAATTGCATATTTAAGATCAACCGAAATATCTTTAAGAATTTTAGTAGGAACCATCATTTTTCTTTTTATTTAAAAAAAAACAAATTAAGAAAAGAACAAAAAGAGAAAAAAAATAAATAAATAAAAGGAGAGTTAGGAGAGTTGAAAGAGAAAATTACAATTTACTGGGAAAACGTTAATTTCATGCTATTTATATCTTATAATATGTTGTGGATTTAATGTATTACCGTACTTGCATCTTGTTTTGTTCATTCACCAAAAAAAGAATGAAAATTTCGAACTCGGTCCAATTATAGAAATCAACAATTTGTTCGATGAATACCACGTGTTATATTAAATACTTCACTATTGGGAAGTATTTTATCGAAGCGCAAGTTAAAACAATGCAAATTATTCAATTATTCTGCAAAATGCAGTAGATCCCTATAAGGACGAAACTTTAATGGATTTAAAGTATTAATACATTATTTAATAATATCTTAAAAAGAGACGATTGAACAAATTAACATTTACGTGTTATTTTGAAAACTTAATAATAAAAAGTTGTTCGATTTTATTACTACACTCACAAAAAGATAAAAAAGAAACAACAAAGAAAAGATATCCCAGGACATTTTTTTACGGCGGGGTTAAAGTTCCAGCTAAATACGTTTGCTTCACATGAAAATAAAGTCTACCTTTAATAATGGAGAGAATTCTTTAACCATATATCGACAGAAAACCCTCGATTTACCAGATTGAAAAAAATAATGTCCCGTAAATTTCAATGTTACACTAACTCCAAAGAAAGTTTCATTACTAAATTATCTTGCACTCATAAATAACCAATATTCACATTCAAAATTATTATATATAATAATGAAATACTTCGTGTAAATTGTCATTAACTAATCTTGCTACGATTAAAAAAGAAGGATTCCGAATTCTAAAAGAACGATGGATTATTTACAAAACATTACACAATGATCTCTCATCCTTGCATAATAATGTAATACAAAAAATATTAACTTCTGAGAAAATCAAACACGCTTTGTTCATTATTTTTGAATTTTCATTTGTTGATAATACAAAAGAATTATTCTATGATATCAAAGGTAAAAGCAAATTAAAAAATATTTAAAAAAGATCTAAAATTCATAATAAATCCTCCATTAACGCCAAATCGTTCTTCGTTTCACATGGTTTTATCATTTTTTGCTATTCTTTTAGTTGTGATCGTGATTAAGCAGCAGCAAAAAGTACAATAACTTGATTTTTAGTTCTATACCGGAATTTTTTTTGTTTTACCGGATCCTTCCATTTCATCATTGCCAAAAACCTTACCAAATCCTTGCTAAAGAATATCATAATATATTTATTAAAGTCGAAATCATGATAATTAAAAAAAAAGCAAACAATTCTGATGATTTAATACCTTGATTGATCCCACAACATCATCTTTTGTTACACGCAAATAAGATGGCTTATGTTGTTTTCGTTTTTCTCGTCGCAATCTAACTTCGGATTTAGTTTCATTTATTACTTCATTTGTATGATAAACACTTGGTCCTGGAACCCTCGAATCTTTTTCCATAACTTTTATAACGTTTATTTCATTACCCGACAAATAATAATAATAAAAATTAAATAATAATAAATCAATAGCGTAATTCTTGTTATTATAATGAAGATTTGACATTTAAAGAAAAATCATTATTATAAAAGTACATTTTGCTTCTAATGCAACTGTTCCAACACTTCCCGCAGCCGTTGATCCATGTCCTGTTATTATTGCATTTTTTGCGATCTTTATCCTTCAGTCATTCTCTAAAAAATGAATTCAACACAATTAAAAGAGAATAAAACTACACTTTTATTTACATCAAATATCATAACAAATCACTTGGCTTTTTTTATTTTAACTATTTACGTTTCAACAATGTATCCTATAATATATGAAATTGCAAGGGATAATATCATTATTTAACCATTTAAGCATTCGATAAACCGGAATTGGAAAAGGCCAAGAATGGGTGAATATTATTAATTTTATAAGAACGAAAAAATTACGCGAAAATTATTTTAATATTACTCAAAAGCCCGTTAATTGATGTGATGTAATAATCCTCCCATATTAATTAATATATACCAAATTGTATCATGTGTAATTTATCACTTTTACATAAATAATCCAATTGATCTCTACGATCCCATCTTTACATCATCGTTCGTAAATCGTTTAGTACGATAAAGAATTTGTAACATGACACGTTTAAATCTATGAAACGAGTCAATTTGATAATTAATAAGGCAATCTTGCCAATAAATGTGAATATTAAACGATCGGTTTTGAGATACGTTCATATAGTGTTAATAAAGGATTTATGTTACGATCGGGTTACGCTTATTAAACATATCGTCATATAAAAATAATTCTTGACAGGTGAGAGATGTCTCTAATTAATTCCGAAGTATTTAGGGAAGATGAAATGGAAAGACAAGAAGTCTTTCAAGTCTTTCTATGAATTTTCAAATGTTCATTATGATAATTATTCTCACAATTTTCTTCAGATGAAGCAGATGAAGTATTAAAATCTCGAATTGTTTTTGATGTTTAAAAAAAAAAGCCAGAATAAACATTTCCCATTTCCCATATTGTAAAAAGTTACTTTAACATACATTAACAACGTAAGGGATAAGTTCGGTTAACCATCTTTGTTCATGGGTTATACGGTAACTCTCCTCGAAAAATTAATCCCGCGAATAATTAAAAATTATTAATTTATATTCTTTTTCGTAGAAAATGTAAAAATTTTGTTAAACTGAAATCATCATCTCTTAAAAAAAAGTGATTGCAAATAATCATATGTATTAACAAAAGTTCGGTTGTTTGATGCCATTTATGAAACGATATTATTTTTTATCGTTAATTGACCATTAATAATAATTTGCAGTCAAATAAAAGTTGATAGAAACTAAACGGGAAAACATCTTATGACCAATTTGTTGCACAAGAACCAGAATATGTGTCAGATTTTGATATAAAATTCTAAAAATGTTGATACGCTTGTTAAGCATGTTTTAAATACAGCATACAGTCAGTCACCTTGGGCAATATAATTAGCGTCCAATATCAAAAGTGCGTTATATTACGTTTTTGATGGTTATAACCTTCCCAAAATTAATGCCAATGCAAAAGCTTCACAAATCCAACAAATAAAAGAACAAAAAAAAAACTGATCACGTTTTAACTTTACCTAACTTACCGTTACTATCAATATCTATCAAAAGCAAATCGTGAAACCATTAAAGGAAATTTCTAGCCGAATTGAATCTTTACGTCCTTGTGAGAGATATGTTGCTATTTTATGAAAATGGCAATATTCCAGAAATTCTTTGATCTGAACACCCATGAAAATTAACCCCCACGAAATATCGGCATGTCTGAATGATCATTAAGCGTGATCATTTCACTACAACGGGAAAACTAAAGGCTATATTAAAAGAAAATGATTCAGAATTAGAGATCAGTGAAACAACTATTAATAAGAAACTTTCTAAGCTAAATTATGTAGCAGTTCTTTCACGAAAAGATCCTCTTTTAAAAGACATTCGCTTGTCTTAGACACATGACCATTTGTGATACAATTGAAAAAATGTGGGTTTTTCCAATGAAACAATAAGCCAAATGTTTCATAACACAACCCTTGCATGGTCCCATGATGGAAAACTGGCATTTTAGGGTTGCGATCAATGTTAAAGAAAAAATCAGTATGCATATAATGGAGGTCAAAAGTATTGCATCACTCGATCGCAAATTTTAAAATTGCAATATCTTGAAATTAGAAGGCACATTGTTATGAAATTTGTTTTTTTAGTCTCTTCATAACAAGTCTATTTAGTGATATAAAAATTATTACACACTAATAAAATCAAATTTTAAAAAATATTTATTTAATTCATGCTTTTCTTTTGACCGATATTTTATTACATTTTTTATATAAAAAAAAAATTTAAAAAAATAAATGTTTTACATTAAAATTTTGATAAATTATTATTTACCATTTCATATAGCCACCATTAGCCTTTATTATACAGTACATCATTTATATAAGTTAGCATAGTATCAACCAACCTTTTGCATTCATTAGATACTAATTTAACCCAAATTTTTTTGAATTGCATCCCTGTATTCTAACAGGTATTTCAAGCTGTCTCAGATAATGATAATCCATTTCATTCCAAAGGTGTTCTATTAGGTTTAATTAGGGGACTATGCTGGCTAATCAAGAACTTTAAACCTATTACCCTCAAACTCAAGCTATTGCTTAGTAAGATTTGCAGCGTATTTAGGATCATTATCTTATTGAAAAATAATATTATCTTTATCTATTCCATGCTATTCAATGGTTTCTAAAAAATCTTCCTTCAAAATTTGATGATATAAATCACTATTCATATGTTCATAAATTCTGCATATCACTAGAAATAAAATACCTCACAACATAATATTATCCCACTTAAGGTTGCTAGACGAAATCCAGAGTTTAGACTAAAGATGGGAACTGTAATTAATATGTTGCAACTTTTAATGTTGCAACTTACGTTGCAATAAGTTTTAACCTATATATGTTGCAACTAATTTTAGCTTATGTTGCAACATTTTGTAAATTTGAAATCAATTGCTGTATCATCTTTAGTTTAGACAGACGTTTAAATGATAAAAGTAAAATTTGGTTAAATTATATTAAAATCTTATTAAAAATCTGCAAAATTCAGAAAAAGGTAAAACTATATCAAAGTTTATAAAAATGGCAAAACTATATCAAACACTTAGTAAAAATTTAGCGAAATTAAAGGTTTAGACGTTTAGCCAAATCCAAAATGAATTTATACAACCTTAATCCCACTCAAATTTGATAGTTGGTTTAATATAATGATTATATAATAGTTTATTTTATTTTTTTAACAATATTTTCTATTATCTAACTCATAAATCATAAATTTGATTCATCTAATTAGATTAAAGATGGTTTCCATAATTATTTTTAAAATTCTTAACTAGTTGCAGCTATTTATGAATTTTTATATTAAAATAAATTTATAAGGAGTTACAATTTACTGAATTTTAACTTCTTAATTACTTTACCATCTTTAGACCAAATAACTTTATTCCAATTCCCTGCTATTTATAATTGATATTTTTTGCAAATTTCATATGAGCAATTTTATATTTTTTGAAGATTTTTTTACATTTAACTTTTAAGTTTAATCTATTGTAACATAAGGTTAACTTTATTGTACTTCACTAATTTTAATTTAGTCTTCTTTTTTTGAATAATAATTGCATTTGTATATTTTTCTGATAAAATAAACTGCAAAACATTTCGTTCTTTTCAACCTATCAGATACTTAAAACATTCAGATTTTAGATGATTTTTAAAGGTATCTTTAGTATTTTTTCATTACTTAATTCTTATAACTATTAACTGAGAACCATTTTTTTTAAAAATAATATAATAAGGATATTCCTTTTTAAACAAAGTAAAAATCCTAGCCTTTTTTTTAGAAAATAAATAAAGCATCATATTTTTTAAAAAAAAATAGTCATATTAAGTATATTGATATTTATTTTAAAAAATAATCATAATAAATATATTGTTAAATTTATATATTTTTATATTTTATGAAAGAAAATAATAATTTACCTAAAAAAAGATTATATAGAATAATAAATTAGAGTATAATGAATTTCTTAATTAAGTTTTATAATACTATACCTTCTGAATTACGAGATATTATAATTTTAAAATTTGTGTTTAAGTGATACAATACTTTTGATTGCTATACAGAAAATATTGATTATCATTTATATTGCTAAATCTTAATAATCAACTCTATAATAATATAAATGAATTGTTGAATTTTAGCAAGATAATAATCTGAAATACAAATCTCATGATGTTTAAAGGAATTTAAAAACTTATTTTTTAGATTAAATTCTTTCACAAAAATCTTATAATTCAGATTTAATCTGATTAAAAATATTTGTATTATTTAAAAAAAAATATTAAGATAAGATAAACAAATTTCAGATTCAATATATTTAAAATTTGTGTTAAATCATGAAAGACAGAAAATTGTCTGAAATTTATACTTAAAAGATCTATATGGGAGGTGGTTAGTAGAAAAGGGGAAAATCCAAAATTTTTGTTAATTTTAATTATTAAACTAATTTTGTGCACATGACCAAGATCAGCCAAATGGTCTAATAATATAAATTTTGATCAAAATTTAGATTTCCCCCTTTTCTACTAACCACCTTCCATATAACAAAAAAAAACTAAAAATAAAACTTAGCATACTTATATACACTGGTCAAAATGGATACAAATCAGCTAAAAATTGGACAGACAATTGATGGATGATTGATAGCCGATTTAGGACTGATTTGCATTAATTCCAATTGACACAATATGAGTCAATCAGAAATATCAATTGGTCATCAATCGGCTATCTAAAATTAGCCTAAAAACTACCTAAATTTGATCATTAATCAACCTAAATCAACCTAAAATCAGCCAAGCAAATCGG